CCTATCTGAAATATCACATCTGTGCTTACTTTGAAAAATCCAAGAGAAGCTGAGCTTTACTTGACTTTGGGTCAAAAATTATATCTCAGAGGGAATCAAAGTGGCAAGGCCATTGGGATGAAGGAGGTCATGACTCTGTGTCCACTTGGGCACGCCTGAGTGACTCAGCCTCAGCTCTTTCAATCTGTAAAACTGGCATAACTGTTCTTACCCAATTTAGAGAGGTAGACATGAAGACTAATCAATAAAAGAGGTATCCATTATTACTATTAAGACAAGGAAAGCAGTAAGCAGGCTGAAGAACACCTTCAGAGTTATTATACTAGTGAGTCCCTCTTGCATAACCTTGCTCCCTCCCCAGAAGAGAACACACGGAGGAAGAGTTAAAACCCAGTTCACGTTTTATCAGGGAAATGCAGTGTCCATGCAGTTACCTCGTATGCTCTGTTATCAATCCCATGCAAGCCCAAGTATCTTTCAGAGAAGGCTGAAGCTTGAAAAGAAAACATGAGAACATCTCTTTCAGTCATAAGTGAGTACAGTGGTGCCTCTGAGTCAAATATTGCAAATGCTAAAAAAGATCTTATTTTCTAGCATTGCCTTAATTACAGAGGACGTATTTCTAAAAGTTTTTGAAAATGCACTAAGCATATGTATGATGCTACAGTCTTTCATTATCACCACATACTTATGGTTTCTAAATCAGTCACAGAACAGCCTTTTTTTTTTTCTTCCTTAGTGCAGCTGAGATATCAGAGAAGAGCACTATCATGTTGTGTCCCTTTCTCCTTTCACATGGGGCCATCTCCATCAGCAGTTGACTGCAAGTTCCCATTGGTCTCAGGGATAACTGTACAGGACCTGAAGACTGCCTTAACACCACTGACTTTCATGGCAGTTCCCTGATTTTCACTGGCACTAAGTGCAAAGGGAACTGGTGTCCCCGAGGGAAAGGACCACCACATGCAGAGGAGTATTGCCATCAGAGAGAGGAACGGGCAGGCAGACTGGACCACAGGTTCCACGGACGGATGGTTCAGGCAAGAAAGAAGCACATTCAAGGCAATGGTGCAGATTGGTGGTAGAGGCTGGAGGGGTTTAGAGCCAATTCTCCTTTATTTAAAAGCAGTGAGTAATAGAAGTTACTTGATTACTCTGACCACCATGGCTGGTCCCATTGGTGGCAGCAAAATTGCTCTTGAGGGGGAAAAAAGGGTTTATGGCTAGTCCTTAAGAAGACACACAATACAAAACAGGATTTTGGGGAAGAAAAAGATAACTGGGAAAGGATAGGGCAGAAACATCATTTGTGGTCAGGAAGAGGGTCTGTGAGCTCTGAGATGGCGTTTACCATATAGTTTGAAGTCTGTCAGTGGGGAAAGAGCAGCTCCACAGGCGAACACCTGGTTCTCTTCACCAGCTGGAAGCATGTAAGTGCTCAGGTAGCCGCCGTAATCCTGGAACACAAAGGGGGCAGGGGCATCAGCGGTCCTGCCGTGAGGTGCTGTTGCTTTTGGGTACAGAAACAGAGCAGCTGAGACCTTGAAGCAAACTCTCAGCCATTATGGAGCCTTTAACACTTTGCCCTAAGAAAACACGAAATAAGGGACATTTCTCTGGCTTCGGCAGATGCAGCTGAAGATGAGATCTATACTTGTTGCACTGTCCTGAAGGCAGGAGGGTTGTGTGCCCAAGAGCTTGGCTCTTTTCAGCCCACTTTATGGCTGTAGGTCTAATCAGATACGTTACCTTTCCAAACTATTACCCCAGTCTTTCAGTATTTAAAATGGACATCACAATTTCAGCATCTGCCATCTCCCTGCAGAGATGCTGCTGTAAGTGCAGCTCCCTTCGCCCACTCTAAGCCTGTATCTCCCACAATAAACAATTTCTACTCACAATCCCATTCTCATTTCAAACCGTGTGTACTTTGCAATTTCTGTTTCCCAGCCAGGCACACACTATGGTGCAAATCAGCCTCAGAAATCAATATTGTTGTTATACATTTGTACGACACGAGCTAGATCTGTCCACACTCCCATAGGCCTTAAGGGACAAGATGAAAATGAAATGAAAATTTGTAAGGGGAAAAAATAATTAATTTTCTGACAGTGGTTTTCTGACAAATAATCACTTTCTGCACTTGGAAGTTAACTTAAAAAAATAATTGACAAATACATTGATAAAATGAAAGCTTTCATCTTTAACATCTCTGAGCAAGAAGCAGTCTATCTCCAAAATAAATAATAATAATAAAACAGTCACCATTGACATATTCAGTAAATCAGGATTTAGTTCAGCTGTTTAGCCACATCAGCCAACTAGAACAACAGAGAACAACAGGAAAACATTACCTTCCCAAAAACACCGACTCGCATTTTATCAATGTAATGCTCCTTCAGCATTGTCCTAGAACGTGAGAGAGGAGAAACAATGGGTTAAAAACATTTTTTCCTTAGATATAACAAATACAGTATGATTTTTATCAGCTTGAATTTGGGGTGGTCACAGAAAAAACAGGGAATGGTTTGGGTTGGAAAGTAACTTTTTGCATAAGCAGACACTTTGCACAATCTCTTTAATGCACCATTGTTTCAATATAAAAAAAAAATCATAGAATCATAGAATGGTTTGGTTGGAAGGGACTTTAAAGACCATCTGGTTCTACGTCCCTGCCATGGGCGGGGACACCTTCCCCTAGACCAGGTTGCTCAAAGCCCCATCCAACCTGGCCTTGAACACTTCCAGGGATGGGGCATCCACAACTTCTCTGGACATCCTGTGCCAGTGCCTCACCACCCTCACAGTGAAGAATTTCTTCCTGATATCTCATCTAAATCTTCTCTCTTCCAGTTTAAAGCCATTGCCCCTTGATGTAGACAATCTAAATTTACGCTGCTGCACGCTGCTTTCACATGACTCTCTGTTCAATTTAATCTTGCAACCTGTTGTGTTGGATTTGACCAAGCAATGGCAATAAACAACCTGCAGTACCTCTGAAAGTCATAATAAAGCTGATGCTATTGCACTGCTCTGATAGTGTTTTTAGCGTGATTATGTGCAGAATAAATCTAACAATATGACAGGACTTGACATTTAGGTTTTGCACCGTTTATCCTGTTTAAAAAAGTTTAAGGATTTAAAGATGGATTTTTTCCAACTACCAGGCCAGCAAAAAAATTAATGTAGGAGCTAATATTCAAGCTTACTTGCTTGAAGCTGTATGACTGAACAGAGCTAAAAATAAATAGGCTTTGAACACGTGATGCAGATAAGTGTGCTTTAATTTAGCTCTGTTTAAGGCTTGTTTTTCTCCCTCTGCACTGGCTGGCATGAGCTCTCTCTCACATGCCATCACTTGGTCACAGCTGTATGACTACATTGTCCTACCATCTCCTTGTTCTACCCCACACACCACTAAATCAACCAGGACTAATGACAGTCTTGGGTTAATTATCATTAATGAATTAATTTCTTCAATAACAGTGTCATTCACCGGACAGCTTCCAACTGATCCTTCTCTTCCAAAAGGCCCAGCCTCCTCTTAACCTCATGCAGTAGCTTAGTGCCTTGGAAGCCACTCCCACGGCCGTCGAACTTCAGCACGATGGCATTGTGAGAGCTGACCATGACGCTTTCCCACGTCACCTCAAATCTCTCCGTCACGATCTGGCTGCCAGGCGTCCCATCTCTGAAACAGAAATAGGCATCAAGCAAAGGCAACGGTACCAAGCACAGGCCAAATGCCCTCCCCGGGGCCGTGAGCTTGCTGTGGCATGGGGTCCAGCAGCTCCTGCATGCATTGTAAGGCAGGGCAGATTTCGAGAAGGGGAGACCAGTCTCTGCAATGATGATGTGCAGAAGGCTGGTTGTGTGGGATGGGTTTTGAGGCTAGAAAGCTGCAGGTTGGTTTCTGCCTCCCTCTTTGCACAGCAATTATCTCTGCGCTAAGCTGAGCTTTGAACAAACCTAGCAAGAACATCACTAACTAGACAGGATTCCTCCTGTGAGTAAACCAGGGCAGCAACACAGCGGTGACTTGAGTTTTCTCTTTTTACACCTGCTCTAATTTATCTCTATGTTTTCTACGCTCCCCAAAGTCGCTATTTTCTGGTGGAGGGGTTTCTGTGAGGAGTCTGGCTTTGGGGTGTGCTGGCACTGCCAAAATATGTTGGATGAAGCTTACAGACATCAATCGTCCTTTCCTTTACTGAAAAGCATTGGGGTTTCATTTACTGCCCCTGTTCACTCAGCCCAGACCTTTCCTCTCCCACAGTGTTCTCCAGAGTGGCTGTAGATGGAGATGTCAATCACTTCTGTCACCACTGCTTCACACAAGTATAGAGGGAAAGGACAATTTTAAAGCGATAAAACTAACAGCTTAAAAATGCCCAGGTTGGCCCAAAATTGGTGGGTAAGTGGAAGGACTAGGCAAGACTGCTTCTTCACCCTTCTGCTTAGGGCCCAATCCTGTACAGGTGAACTCTCTCAAGAAATACTGACCCCACTTCAGCTAGAGAGCTCGAAAAAATCAAGAGATGATGATGATGACAACTGTAAGTAATATTTTAGGGATTACTGTAGGGATATTGGGATTACTGTAGAGCCACTGGCACTTCCATCTACTTCTTGTCCTTTCTGGGGTTCTTGGAGACATCAGGCAACTCACTGCAGGATTTTAATGTGGATGTGACTTCAGTCATTTGCATTTATTCAAGCGAGACTGAGGCACATCCAGCTTCAGAGGCAGCCTAATCAAGTGCTGTTAGCTTGATGAGTACCAATCTTCCTCAAGCACTTGTATAATGAAGTACATTTTCTCTGCAGTAATTTTGTGATGTAACGACACACTTATTGCAGTGTTTTTGTCCTTCATGGAGGGATGTGGAGGATGGTGTTCAGGCATTCATCAGGCACTCATCACTCCTGCATGAGGCTTCTTTCTCATGGGATGTTCCCTGGTATGGAGCAAGCGATGCAGTGGGACACAGCCAGGGCCAAAGAGATTCTTCCAAGGTCAGTGGACTTCCCTCCCCCAGTTTCTTTCCAAATTGCCAGAAAAAACTCAGTAATGTGTATTATTATTACTAAATGTTGCATAAAGAAATACCTATCTGCTATGCCTGCCAGAAGGAAATCCTACCTATCTCATATAAATGCTAACATTGTGGAGATCTTCAAAGGTTTCTGGCTCTCTCTTTAGCGTCACTTCAGGGAACATCAGCATTTACACGGGAAGGATTGCCGCATGAGGGTATCTAAAATTTAAGCTGTAGTAAGGCTGACTGCATTCTGCTCTAAAACTACCTGTTAAGTGCAGGGTGAGCGCCCTAAGCACTGGGGCAAAGAGTCAACACTCATCTTTTATTCCTCTCCCTCCTGTTTTTGACCCCAAAATTATTGAATTGCAAGTGTACATCGAACAACTTTACAAAATCTGACAATTTACTCCGCAGGATTTCACTAGGGCATCCTCCTGGGAGGTAAAACCCTTGGCTCAAACACGAGAGAGAAGGGACCTACGTCTAGCTTCTCCCAGCTCCGAGGTGAGGTAGCAGGTAGGGAGCAACGTGCTGGACTTAGGTGCTAAAGCTGCCTGGCATTCATTGTACAAAACATATCTTAAAAGGCTCTGCTCATGGCCAAGGTTTCCACGCTGCCCTAATAATGTGAACAGAAAGAAAGGATGAGCGAGAACTTACACAACCAAAAGCAAGGGGTAGTGTGCGGTGTCCGAAAAGGTTGCTGGCTTTAAGATCTGCATTGGCAATTCTAGGGAAAAAAAACCCAAATAACAACATGTCTTCAGTGTGAGAATGCTGACATAACTCTAATAGATTTTTCTGGTGTTTTGGCTACTTATGAGCAGGAACAAAATGGCATGTCATCAGAAGCACTGGTAAATAATACCTTAGAAACACAGATGTTGTCAAAGAAAAGACTCATATTATGATAGTTGAGGTGACAAGAAATGTAAATTGGGAGTACAGTGTGAGCTGTTCAGTCATGCATCACTTTTACAGCATTCAATTAACATCTGGCAATAGCTATAATTTTCCTTTTTGGCAGCTGGATGAGTGACACAGCCAGAAATCAATATTTCAGGGCAGCAGAGGAAGGGGAAAATCAGTGATGAAAATGATAATTCAAAACCCAATTAAGTATGGTGGCTGGGGGAGAAAACAGGATTATTTTGCTATAATGGTGTGAAGACAGATAGAGAAATATGTATTTTAATCCTAACTTCCAGAGGGTTTAATTCTGCTGTAAAACAGGAGGTAACCGTGCTGAAGCCCACGTTGTTATACTGCTACTGAACTAAGTGAGAGACGTGCTCACCAAAACTTCATTTAACTGCTTCCTATGGCTTCCTATCGATAGCCAAAACCACTGCCATATAAATGCTTTCTGCATTAATGAGAGCACATTTATTTTTGAAATGTTAACTACAATCCAGATTAGCAAAGGCCCAGCAATTAAATTGGTATTAAGAGTATTTTCAGTAGATTAATACACAGATTAACCGCGTGGTTTAAGTGGTTTGCTTTGCAATCATTGTCTGACACTCCGCCTAATTAGTTATTCCATCTGAATGCTAATAGCTGCAAATTGGATCAATGGCCCAGGGACAGCCAAAAAGGCCATGGCTTGACTTTAAATATAACTAAGCACTACGTGCAGTGTTCCCTAGGCTCTTAAGCCCAAAGCTTTGAAAATACAGGGAGTGCACAGAGGAACAGCCACATGGCTGCGGCCAGCTTGTATTTATTACAGACATACATATATATTTTTGATTAAATGAGCAGAATTGCATTTCAATGATACCTGCAATTAAGAAATTTAGCATCAATCTCAGTTGTTCCTAATAAGCTGCCAGTGTCACTATGAGTTGCCTCCTGGGGGGATAGACGTGACCTTTATGACAGGCTCTTTCCCAGTCTTTTCCTGCCCATAAGGCCTGGAAGTGCATGTCTGTTCTTGTTATTTTATGCACTGGTTTATGTTCCTAATGCCCATGTGGCAAGGAGAACATTTTAGGGCCATTATTCTTTTCAAATGGCAACTGTCTCTCAGTTTTTGCTTCAGGTTTTATAACACCTGGTAACGGCTGAAACTCGTAAGCTGCCATCCATCATACCTCACTGCTTTCATTGCACTGCATCCAATCTGAGAGGTACGCTGCTTTCCAGCATAAGAAATATTATGCGCCATATTTTGAACCCAGGGTCTTTGGGGTTCTTTTAGAGTTGCCACCATACACACAAACTGGGATTTTTGGGAGCCATTGTACAACTCTGAGTATGTGGATATTCCACGTATAGGTAAGATCTTTGCTTACAGCCAGAGGAGATGCTTTTTAGGTTATTTCAGGTATAACTACAGGGACAGCCAGAAAATGCTTACACTTTGGCTGTTTGCCACTAGGCTCTTCTCTGTCTCTTTGGCATATAGATATGTGGGGAATGATTATACAAGTGGTACAAATAATGCACCAGCTGCAGATATAAACTGCTCCAAGATTCTACCTTCTTTACTCCAGGTGAAATCTCTTTTGTCTTTTCTCATAAAACTGCTTTTTTTCAACCCTATCAAATGATATGGTTTTCTCAAAGAATGGTGAATGATTCCGATGGGCAGTCGTTGGCGAGTCATCCTCATTCACTGCAGCACATACAATATCCCACTTCAAACCCATTTCAAATAATACACTAGTCCAGCTAGGGCAACTGCCCCAAACAATGGGGATACCACACGGTGTCATTTCCCAGAATGGCTTTTTCTCTACAAAGAAAATTTTAAAAGGAAAAAAACCCCAACCCTATAATTTTGCCTTTCTTCAGCTACATTCTCATCAAATCCTGTCTCTGTAATAACCTCCTTATGTAGCACATCCTAAGAGAGTGCTTTGCAAACTGTGTGAGTTTATTGAGAGCCAAAGTCATTTTTCCTCCTGCCAGTCTTGCTGAGATGGCTGTATCATTTCACAGAAATAGCAGTGAAAAAGGAGAAGAAAAATAAGAGTAAGGAAAGGTGCTACTTACTGTAATCATCTATCTTGATTTCCATGTATTCTACCTTAGGCATTTGCCTGTCATTTACAGTCAGCTGCACATTTTCATTTACCTCCAACTCAAAAATTCCTGAAAGAAGAAGGACAAGATCACAAAAACTTTTGGCATTGTTTGTGAAAAAGCATTTTAATGTTTTATAGCCAAATATATATTTGTAACACAAATTTCCTTACAAAAGAATTTCCTTCTCATCCTCACAGACATCTAATTGAGTTAAGTCTTTGAAACTCCTTCCAGATTCTGCATTGGCAAAAAGCTATGTTCCTGAAATCAGTGAGATTCAGCTGATTCACAGCAGATGGGAGTGTGATCTTCTGTGTTGAGACACTACTATGGGTCCCAGTCAGACATCTACCTGACATGCACAGCTAGACATCAAATGAAGAAGTCCTCAAGTCTGTGCCCAAGTTACACATAATAAATGAGGAAAAGGAGAAGACTGTGGAGGCCTTCAGGATGAGGTTGTGCTGCTATGCAAAAGAAAATCCATGGGAAGGAAAGCCATGGAGAGAGAAGAGTGGACAATGATCATACAAACCTGCAACATCAGGTTTTGAGGCAGTTTTGGAGATTTGTTTCCAGAATTGTTCATTTTGCTTGTGTGTCTTATCCAAGGACTCTCTGGGACTGAAACAGAGGATTCTTTCATCCTTCCCAGGATTTAACCCTTATTCCCCACATCCTGGCTAGAAAAAGCAGCCACTTCCAACACCAGAAAGAGCAAGTCCTTCCCAGCTGGTAAGTAAAGGGCTCATCTTTAGGAGACATTTCAGGTTGTACGTCCTAGGTGGTGGGAAATGTCTCCTGGTGATGGTGAGGCTCCTGAGCCTCATGGGAGAGGGATTCAAGGGCCGGAGGGATCCCACTGTGGTGGCAGTGAATCCTGGTCCAGGAAGCCCATTGCAGTGCTCATCCCCATGGCATCAGGCTGGGTTTGAACCAGGAGAATCCAGGGCATTGTCTCTGCCACATGAACCCAAGAAGTACTCGAGGTTTTGCATCAAATTATGTTTCATTGACTGTAACTTCCCTTTCGAGACACACTGATAAATAGATGTGTAACCTCAGCTCCTCCTATAATACTTATGGTACCTGGTTATCATGCTCTCATTGCCCATCTCTGCTGAACAGGCAGGCACAGCACAAAAACGTGCCCTTCCCAGTTAGTACAATTCACAGATCGTTCAGCAATAGTATATTGGTTCAATGACTATTCACCCTCCTTCTGAAGAGCCTGGCTCATCTCTGTTGAAACCACAACCTTCACAAAAGTGCCAAAGCAACAGCCTATTACATTTAGTTAAATATTAAGATTCTCATTTAATTATGGCACACACAAGTAGCTTTATCAGCAAAAAGGGGCTTGCCACGTAGGGGAATTTAGTCAAGCCGTTTTATTTGTTCATATAATTGCATTCACAGAAAGCCAGGAAGACTGTGAAGGAAATAAAAAAGATTGGCATATCCCCTAAAGGACTTTCTTTTCTGCTTTAGGACCACAGGGAGCTTGAATCTGTGGAGTACAAATGGTCATTGCTTAATTAAATGTAAGCACGCTATAATATTCAGTGCAACTCACTATTATCAGATTATTGCAGAATACAGAGGCAAACTCCCTTTATAGAGTAATGGGCTCATATTAAATAAGTAAATTCAGTAACATGCAACTGTCAGTCGCCCTTTATTCAAAAGCAAAAGAATGAGGGGAAAAAAAGGGAACTAGGAGAAATGTTAATCCCATGCAGAAAATAATGAATTTCAGTAGGGGATGTGTTCTGTGCATGACTAGACTGAGTTCTCTATGTAATAAATGCTACACATACGTATCTCCCAAAATAAAACTAGTCTCAGTGTGTTTTACATTACTTTTTCCAGCCCTTCATTTGCTGTTTCTGTTTTATAGTCTCTCTCATTTTATTCACCTTAAACTATTTTATAAATCTCTGCAGGAGGCTATAACACAGTTCATGAGAGCCCTATCCTGTACATGCTGTTATAGCCAGTCAGCATCTCCATATCTAGGGTAAAATTAAGGTATTGCATTTAAGGGAAGGGGGGAAAGAAAGCGACTTTGGAGTTGCAGATCAGAGCTAAGCAACCCTCCTGGCCCTGTGGCATCATCCTCTGTGGGCTATAGAGCCTTGTGAGCATCACCAGGGCTGCTCTGGAGTTATGCTTGGTGAGGGCACTGCTAAGGCCAGCTCTCTGGTGGGAAGAAGAAGAGCTGAATACATCCCTGTGCACAGATTGAGGTATGAGTGGTGTAGAAAGACTGAAAAGCTAAGAGCTTGCAATTTGCTTTCAGTATTATTTAAAAAAGCAATTATTGTATTTTTGTAGACCAGAATAGCTACAAGTGCCAATGTTTGCCTATTTATAGCAGAAGTAGTTTCACAAGGGACCAGACCGGCACACAGATCTATACTTGTAGCTCACTGTTGCCAGCAGCAATAACCCTGGCTCCACAGCGAGAGCCCTCCTCTGGACAGCAAAATCAGTCAGCTCCATCATGGCACTTTTATCCAGAAATTATAGACCACTGGAGAAACTGAGTCATGAGGAAATGAAATATTTATCTCATGGTAACCCCATAAGCAAGATGATGGCTGATGGTCCAGGGTACGTTGAGCTGCTTTGCTTTGGCAGCAAAGATCTCTCTTGCTGCCCTTACAGGACAGTCATGCAGCAGTATATTGCTTTAAACTAACTTGTTCCAGGATGCTGCTAAATTTTATGCATGTCTTTCTCTGCAAAGGAACATTTTAATTGGAAAAAAAATCTATGGAAAACGATGGAAGGATAAATTAGAGTTAAATGTACAATACATCTCATTAACAATATTGGACGCTGTTGACACTAGATGGAACACTACTGAGTGTTTCTATTTTAATAGTAAAGGATAAAATATGCCACAAATCTGATTTAAAATTTTATTTTAAAAAGTTCAATCAGAATTTGGGATTGCACTCTATACATTCTGCTTACAAGCAGGTAGGGTAAAGGCTTGAAATACATGTTGCCAACAGAAATTGAGAAAACAGGGAATAAAACAGGGAACACATAGAAACTCTGTAAAGCAAGACGGATCCTGTGCTTTTTTCTTACATGTCTTTCCTTTGACACTTACCACCTTCAGTGGGAAATGAAGCAGCTCAGCATTTCACAGAAAACCTTTAGTTTGAGAGCCAAATTCCCTGGTTTGATCTGCTCCTTTGCAGACACAATAGCAGTGAGTTGCTGTAAATCCAGTTAAGCGAAACTGATACCTGATAAACTGATACCGGCCAAAGCAGCTAGAATAAAGGTGTTGCTCATTATTTGGATCACAGCAATGCCTGAAGTCCCTAGCTGCAGGTTAAGGCTGGGCTAAACTCTACATTAAAATGAAAGATAAGGGTCTCCCATCAAAATGACAGGAGCAGATAAATCTTGGTTTCACATCAGACTCAGTTCCAGAGCCTGGTATGAAGTCTCCTGAGACTCATGAAAGACAGAAAGGGGCATCTTGGTTTAAGATCCCCTTATAGAAGGGATAGAGAAAGGCTGTCTATCTGAGGCTCCTTGCGATGCTGACTGGGGTAAAAAATGGATCTTTCTGGATAATTTGTATTGCTACAGGTGCAAAGGAGAAACCTCAGAAACCTTCTGGCTCTCTGGACTCCGCAGGGCCTCCTAATCAGTCTGATAATGGCTACAGCCAGTACCAAAGATTTTGAGGAAAGAAACCTGTATTTGGAATAATTCCAGCTTCACACTGGTGTAGATGTAAATTGTTAGCATGAAAAAGCCTTACCAAACAAGTGCTACAGTCCCCATGAACAATTCAGGAACCCAGGCAGAGATACAACTCGTGAGGCTCACTCCTCTGTGTTCTCTCTCTTAACCTAGTAATCCATATCAGGGTGATTTTATTAAAACCATAGATTAAGCTAAATATTTCTTATTTTTGAGTGGGACGTAAAACAAAATTTGTGGAAGACTAACAAAAAGAGAGAGAGAGATCTGGATTGTGCATTTTTTTTGAGAAAGCAGATAACAAACTTCATGCCGAAACCACTGTGTTTGTTTTTACCCCAAACAGCAAGCAGTTGTGATGGCAGCACAACAGCTCTACAAGTCCCTTTGACTTCCAGAAGACTTGAATCTAGGCAGAGTCTGGGCTCCCCACTACTGTGTTTACCAAAGAGCAGTTACATCTCACTGTCCTGCCTGGTTACTTTTCTCTGAAGAACTGCAAAGCTCAAGTCCATTCTTACTCTGTGCATCGGTTGTGTTGTGAACAGTCACCATCGGGACACGAGGACCTTGAAAAGAAGAAGAAAAGAACTCAGTTAAATTTCTATTGAAGCACACACAGACACATGTGAACCTGGTTTTGAATTCCATGGAGTTGAAGACTCCTGAGACTCACTTTCCATGCAAGAGTAATCTAAAAAGCAAATCACTCTGGTATTAGAAAGAGTCTATGAATAAATGACAGTACTATAACTCAAAGACATGCGAGGTTTCAAATCCCTTTCCCAACAGACCACT